TGCTCTTGGCATATAGGCTGTTTCCCTGCTGCTTCCCTCCCCAGTGCACCCAGTGCCTCTGATCCAGACACTGCTGCTACTAGGAAGTTATGACTTTTTATTCTGCCACCCCCCCTTGCTGTAAGCCTGTGGTGCTGGCAGGCTCTGGACCACGCTCAGTAGTAGTGGCAAAAGATGAGGAGCCAAGAAGCTACGTGGTGACTCTGCCCACAGATACAATCCAGAGTTTCAGATGGGTAGAAAATGACAAGCCAAGGAGAAACAGGCACTGGCTTTTAAAAGCAGGGATTAAAATGCTTTTAATATTGAAGTGTAGCTGATGCCTGAATTCTAGAGCCCAAAAGCCAGTGCAGTCAGCAGAGAGATTCCTATTAACTCCACTTGGGTATGGATCAGACCTTTTAAGAGAGCATCTAATAGAGTAGCATAGCCTCTAATTAGAAACCTGCCCCTTCTGTTGTACCCCTGTGCCCTCTATCCCACCCCACCCCATTCCTGTGACAACATCTTGCTCTGGCAGCTTATTCATCCTCTGGCTCTTTCCCTGGCCCAGGGGCTCAGCACTTCCAAAACCGTTCAGGAGCTCTGGGATCCTCCTGGAGAGTTTGCTTTTCTCCTTTCTCATCCCCCTCTTGAAAGCAAAACGAAGTGAGAGGAACTATTGCCTACTTTCCTCCTTTGCAAACTGGAAGGACAAGAAAAATATACATGGCTAGCTACGGTTACAAGCTGAGGCAGGAGTCCCTGCATGCGGGGGGAAAAATACACCCCATAAAGCAGCCAAAAAAAAAAGAAAAAAGAATCCTAGTAGTAACAAAAGAAGCAACAACAGCAACAAAAATCTCCTGAGGTCAACTGAAGTTCAAGACTTGGAGAAAGAAGGAAATCTGTGTGAGGAAGAGGGAGAAGTAGGCATGATTGAGAGAAAAGAGGTAAAAGGAGACAAGATAAATTGTGATTATCTGGTGGAATCAAGACACTTAACTGCCCTGTCTGATTCCTGAAGGGAAACAAATGGAATCTATAACTCTGCACTGCAGAAGGATAATTTGTCCCTGTTTCCTCAGCCCTTGCTGGTCGGTCGGCTCTTGTGCTTGTGGCAGCTCAAACAGCAGCCTCAGTGCAGCTCTGGGAAGAGCCAGGACAGGCTGTTTTTCTTTGCAGGTGCCCTGAGAGGGGTTTCTGTCAGATGCGGTGCTCCCTGTGCAAGCAGGACCCTTTGCTTTTTTAATGTTTTCCAAGTGATACGGACACACTTATGTGGAGCTGCTAGCATTGCTTTTGCAATCCTTTGGCAATTCCTGTGTTGCTTCCATGAAAGAGAGCATGGAGTCCAAATGCAGAGCTAATTATCACTGGGTTGGGTGCTTGCCTTCATCTGGCTTCACCTATTGGTGGGACAATAGCGCCCTTCCAGTGATGAGGAAGAAATGGGATTTCTTGTGATCTGTTGAGTAGCAACTATGGCACAGATGATTCAGCTGTGTGTTTGCTCTGTGCTGTCCAGGTAGTCTGCTCCTCTTCCCTTGGTGCAGTAAATTAAGAGGGGTGGAAAGATATTGTGGGGGGGGGGAGGGGGAAAAGTGGTATTAAATAAATTTGTGCTAAAGAAATCAGTGGAAGGTAGCTCATTCAAACTTTGGTCATGGTGATGAAAGAACAAATGACAGAGCAACTGTGAAGTCTCATTTAGGGATCTGTTTCTCGTTATATTCTAATTAATTTGTTATTTTGATCTGCATTTTATGCATGGTGGTGTTTTGTTTGGTTTTTTTTTTCTGTAATGGGTACAGACATGCTCTTGAGTTAGGCTGTGATTATTGACTGATGCACAGGTAAGGGGGGTAAAAGAGCTCACAGCTTTTGGTACCTTATTTGTGAGGATTTGTTTAAAATGGTATTTTCCTGCACACATTGCTGCTTACAATTTAACAGTCTGAGCTGTCTTATCTATGTCTTAATGAAGTTTCTTGTTGCTAACAAATAAAAGGAAAGAAAATTAAAATGGGAATTGGTTTTGAATGTTTCCCTCATGTTTCCCTTTCGTCTTTTCCCTCTTTTCCTTCTAAATCTATCATTGATTTTGACATTTTGGGAGCAAAGAGCAGTTGAGCCCATCATGTTCTTTCACAGAGATCTACCTCTGCACATCTGCAGGCTGACCAGAGTGAGAAATGCAGGTGGGATGATGCATTCTGCCTAGGAATGCCATGCCTTGTTCTCCAAGTTATTCTGAATTTAGGAGGTGAATTCCCTGAAGCGGGAAGTAGCTGTAATGCAAAGAGACGGAGAAGAGTTAAATGTTCATTTGCTGGGTGATTGTGGGTTGGCTTTTTTTGGTCTGGTTTGGGGTTGTTTTTAGTGTGAGTAGGTTTGCAGCACACAAACCATGAATGTGACTATGAGTAGAAGTGGGTGGGACATGATTTTCCTATGCAGCAGGATTTTTAAGATCATGTCCCTTCCATTGCAACTGAGACGTTTTGAAGTATTTGCAGTTCTGGAGGGAGCTGCTGATACCCTGTGGATCTAGGGCTTTTGAATGAGATGTAGAGGGGGAAAGTCTATTCTGCCAAATTTAATAGGAAAACCAGAGAGGCATGATCCTGGATTTATCTTGTCCTAGTTACTGGCTTTCACTGCCATGGGGACTGTCACAGTCTTGCTTGTTTCCTGGGGCAAAGAAGCCTTTGCTAAGGATGGCTTTGGATGTCCTCCAGATTAAAACCTAGCTAGTAACTTGCTTCATATCAAGCCTCCAATGTTTAAGAAAGTGTAAGGTTACTTTTTATCTCTGGTGTTGGCTTCATTGTAGAGATGGAAACATTGCAGATGACCTGGTTGATCACAGTTTGGATAAGGTCTCTTGGTTTTGGGTCTTTGTCCAAAATGTGTTTGATTGTGACCTGTCACTCACTTGCACCTGTGTTGGTGGGAGGAAATAATTTCCCAGTAGTTAATTGTAGTTCTTCTTTTTAAAACAACTGCTATTCATTCTCCAAATAGAAATATGTCTGGGTTTGGGCATTGAGTCTTGCTGTGCTTTCGTGCTCTGGAATGGTAATCTTTAAGTATTATATTTGGTCCTCCTTATGGATATGCTTGACATAGCCTGAGTCATAAATGAAGCAGTTCAAGATTATAAAGCCCTTGTTAAGTGTAAATCATTTTTGCTAGCTCTCGATCATTTCTGGCTTCTTCTTGCATCCAATGCTGAAGATGATGTGGCCAGCTGAGCAGCTTGCAGAATTGCAGCCTTGGCAGAACCACCTATATAGCCCTAAAGTCACTCCTCCAAGTACCCAAAGAGAACTGTGACTCTGGCAGCTAGGGCATGGAAAGAGCTGCTCTGCAGATGTGGTCCACCAGACTTTTTTGGTCATGAAAACAGATTTTCACCATACAAGCCCAAATTACCAGGCACTTCACCTGGCTGCTTGATCCTCCCCTTTATTTGCCATACTATCACCCGAGTTTGTACTAACATCAGTTTAATGTCACACTGGGATGTTCCCCTGACCATGGTTGGTGGCCTTGAAACCTGCCAGGCAGCTGGGTCATCACTCCAGTGCGCTTTGTCAATGTACAGCACTATATTTTTAATCAGAAAGTCACAAAATGCTAAGTCAAATGCCTTACCAAAGTCTATTATTTCTTTGCAGTTACCTTTATCTGCCAAAATTGTAATCTCATCAAAGAATAAAATCAGGTTTGTTTGACAAGGCCTATTTTCCATAAAATCATGTTGACTGGCATTAATTATGTTCCTATCATTTAATCCTTTATTAATGGAATCTCATATCAGCTTTTTCCATTATTTCCATTGTGATTGATGTCAGGCCAACTGGTTGGTAATTGCCCACATCGCTTTGCTTGCCGAGCTGTGCCACCGCATTTATCCTGGGGTCAGCTGGAGCTTCTTTTCCCAGATGGGTGGAATTGTAGCATCTGTTCTCCTCAACCGCATGGAGTCTTGGAGTACTCTCTTACTGACAAAGATGGCTCACACACAGGATGGTGTGTCCCCTCCCAGTCCTTGACGGAGGCCACGTGGCCAAGGGGATCTCCCACCATTATATCTATCCACCAGCTTTTTTCTCCTGTTTTCTCCCCCATTCTGCTGAGAAGGGAAGTGAGAGCCAGCCATGGTTGACCTGCCATAGCAAACTTTGAACGTGCTCAGAGCTGTCATGGAGAAGCCAAAAATGAGGGTTCTTATAGGGCTGAAATGATGGTGTCCATCCCTTGCTTTTGGAGCAGTAGAAGTCATCCTGCTCTGGGAGCTGTGTGGATATCAGAAAGAGGACTCATGGTCCCCATGCAACAATTTCAGAGGCTTTGTGTTGCCTCTTGTGTGCCGTTAAGAAGAGACATTTACAGCCACATGCCTGAACAAGGTCTTTGTTGTCTGGACTATGCTGCAGGATGCCGCAGGAGATGGTTTTAAATATAATTTGGCAGAAGGTAGTGGTGGATTAGTCCCAGTGCTTCTCATTTTCTGTGGGTTCCACATATGCTAAGATGACCAGCATTTGCTAGAGCTGCCATGTTTGTTCCAGGCTCTACAGAATCCCTGTGCCTTGAGGCACCTGTGGGCATTACAGGCTGTTTGCATCAACCCTTGGTATTGGGTTGTTTGCTTCTGACCTGGAAATGTTGTTGTATCTGCTGGTGGCATCCTTTGGCAGGGGAGGCTGAGGGAGGCTAGCACCAAAGATGGCTATGCTTCTGCTGAGCTAATGTGACCTTCTCTTTTGATAAGGGGGAGGGAGGACAGGAACTGTGGTTTGGTTTATCTGTGCTAGAGAGAACAGTAAGACCACACAAAGCTTGACTCCCCTTGCTGCTTGAGGCATTGTAACACAACAGGAAAATGGTTTATGGATGACTTAAGGGAGGAAGGCAGAAGACCTGTGTTCTCCGGCAAGCTGAATGTTTTCAGGATTTCTTCCTCTCTGTCCTGTTTTGCTTATGATTTCTTTCCCTTCGGTCTCTCCCAGGTTCCTCAGTAACCCAGCTGCTGGCTCGGGACCTGGACAACGATCCGCTGGTCTTTGGTGTGGTTGGTGAGGAGGCCAGCCGGTTCTTCGCTGTGGAGAGCATGACTGGTGTTGTCTGGCTCCGGCAGCCCTTGGACAGAGAGGTAATACTGCTTGCTGCTGAGAGCATCCTCAGCTAAGGAGGGGCAGGGAGGAAACATTTCTGTTCAGATAAATGGTGGCTCTCCACCCTTTGTGGCAGCTGCAATGATGCCTGGGTGTGGAATCCAGGTGTGTTCACATCAGGGTCAGTCCCTTGTGTTCACCACCTTCTCATTGGCTCCACTGAACTAGGACACAGGGAATAAACAGGATGTTCTGATTCGATCTGGCCTGTTGGTTTTCCTGGATCCCAGAATAGCGTCTGTGAGTCTGGAAGTAAAGAAAATTATAAATGAACATGATTTACCAAAGAGCCAGGATGCTTATTCATTCAAGGAAATCTACAGGTTCCCTTTTTAAATGTTTGTTCTGATTAAATCCTTTACTACTTAGAACAGTGTGTGAAGAGATATGACGTATCCCTGTTTATTCAATCTCATCATGACTTTTCATCATCTTGTGGATTCAGGCTGCTGTATGCTAAATTTGGCAAGATTCTTGCCTTGAATCTGTTTCACACCCCTATTTTCAAGCGTAGCTTTGGTGTGCAAAGATGATATCTTATCCAGGTGCCTGTTTTCAAAAGCCCTGGCCTTTGCTCTGTTCCTGGAGGGAGGAGAAAGGGATGGCACAGGCTCTTGGGCAGGATCTTGGTAAGACTGGGAAAATACTACATGACTTGGGCAATGTGCTTCATTTCCCCTGTCCTTCTCTTGCCTGTGTTTAGTGCTTCCTTGGCCAGGGGCACTGTTGTGAAGATAAAACTCATTAACACACCTCAGGCACCGGTGGTCCTGGTTGGAGCCAGCCAGATGTGGGGATTTGGAGGAGCAGGATGGTGGATGCAGCTTAGGGAGGGGGAGGGCAAACTCAATTTCACAGTGTTAAGAGTGAGACTCTGGAAAAATGAAGTGGTTTTCTTCATCCCTCTCCCCTCCACCTCCTTGTGCCAACAGCTGATGGCATGAGTCATAAATCTTTCCTTATTCAAATACCTACTGTTTCCCAAGCCTTAAGCCAAGGAGGAAGATCAATAGATTTTCAGTGTCTTCTGGTGTAGGATGGGAAGGGGAGCAGCTGAGCAGAGCCTTCATGCATGGTCAGGCTGAACCAGAAGAAGGTCTGGCACCCATCAACTGACCCAGGGGCTCAAAGTCAGCAATACATGGAAAAGGGTGAAGACAGACACATACATAGCTTGGTATGGGTACTGGGAATGTGAAGGAAGCAGAACAGCATAGGAGGCAAGGGATGGAGGTGGACAGCATGCTGAGAGCAGAGAATGCTGGCCTGGATGCGTGGGATCAAAAAGTCACAGAAGAGAAAACCATACAAGAAAATAGGTGGGAAAGGAAAAGCAAGAGATCAGTTCTGGTACAGTGGAGAAGAAGAGAGACTTGAAAAGGGAGAGGGAGTCAGAGTAAGGTAAATGACGCAGGAAAAGGGAAAACAGGGGAAAAGAGGAAGGAGAGAATGTATGGAGGCAAAACAAAATTTAAAATATTTTTTACTCCCACAAAGATTAGAAGGAAAACAGCTTGTGAGGGTTTTTTTAAAGAAAAGACAGACCTGAGTCTAGAAGATGTATGTGCTAACATGAAGGGTGGAGACGGAAATTAGCATGCGTCAGCTTTTTCTGATTTATTTTATTGAGTTTTTAGCATTTCAGTACTCAACTGGTTGTTTCTTTTCTCTTATTTTTCCTTTCTTGCCTACTCCTTTGTCTCTCACAGGAGCATCAATGAAGAGGGGGAAACAGGGCTGAAAGATTTTGATGCAGCAGGGTGGGATGTCACAAGAAGAGGCTCTCTTCTCCATCAGTATTTCAGCTCTTCTTTCTGCCTGCAAGCACTGCTGCAAGGCAAGAGCTAGGAAAGACATTCTCAGGTTCAGCTCCCCAGGTGTTTGGAAAGAAGGCCTGGGATAGGCAGATGTGGGGACAGGAGGGTGCATGCTCTGGTGAGCTGTCCCCCAGTCCCTTCTCCAAGATGAGCTGCTACTTTGGTGCAAGCAGATCTCCTGCTCTGGGCACCAGTGGCTGCTGCTTGTCCCTCAGCTGATCTTATTAGGAATAAATCAACCCAATCTGCATCACAAATAGGCATTTCAAGCTTGCTTTCTGGACTTTCCTGCATGATGCTTTGGAAACATTGACTTGCTGTGTTCTATCAGCTCAGGCAGGGGCACTGGGAATGGGAAGGGATGCTGGAGGAGGAAGAGATTGCTGGAACTGGGGGAATTGAAACAGCAGATGGTGCCCAGGTACCAGATAGGTGTGGTGGTCCAAGTCTTGCTGCCCATCCCAGAGTGATTCCTTGGCAAAACATGAGTGAAACAATTGCTGGTGGGAAAGAAAGGTCAGGAAGAGAAAGGCTGCCTCCACTAGCAATATTCCCCTGCCCTGACAGCAAAATAATCTCCTCTTCCCCACTTATCCCTCACCCCAGAACCAATGACTTTAATATATTGCAGTTTAAGATCAAGCTGTTTATTTAGTTAAAGCAGTAAGGGTCAGAGAGGACTGCACAGGCATTTTTCTGAATGGATTTAAGGCTTTTCAGGCAGTTCTTAATACACACCCTGAGTTTATCCTACTGTTCCCAGCTATGTGATATATGAAGAACTACTGCATGGCAGGTAAGTTGAGAAAGCAGAAGCAACATTTAAATGTCCTCAGTGAGACTGCGTTGTATTGTCAGCTTGAACAAAGGCTAATTACACAGCTTTTTCTTTGGATTTTCTTCTCTTTTTGCATTGTCCTTGTATCTTGCAGTTGGAGATGGCACCATAGGTGGAAAACTGCTTTTCCCAGCCTTGCACTTTACTCCATCTTGCTGATACAAGCAGGCAGCCTCTGGCATTGGAGACCAGGCGGGTGTTCAAAGAGAGCTAGGGCTTGCTGGCATGCTACAGAAGGTTAAACAGTGGGCTCCTCTCATCTACTTCAGCCTAGTTGTCTGTTTGAAGTGCTCAGCTGCTAGTCAGAGGTTCAGTTCCATAGTCGCCGCATCCTCCTGACCCAGAGCAGAGTGGCTCTCTGCGCCTGTAAAATACACTGGAGCCCCACTGGCATTAATATTTCTCAGCATTTTATACTCAATGTAGGTAATTGCACTCAAGCGCCTGTTCTCTTCTTGAAGGTCCTGAAAGCATTTTGCATGTAATAATATTGGCTAAAAGTCCCAAGCCTGCCATCTGCAGATAAACACTACAGTATCTTTAATTATATGTTTTTCTTCTCTTTCCCTTTCAGACTAAGTCAGAATTCACGGTTGAATTTTCTGTCAGTGACAGCCAAGGGGTAAGTGTGATTTCTCATTTCATGGTCTCTGGCATGGGTGGAGAGGAGCAGGGAGGATGAGCATGCGGGTCTCCGGGGGACTGTCTGCATCACCCTGAGGGGTATGAGGAGCAGGGCCATCCCTGGCCATCGCTTGCCAAAAGCCCACATCAGAAAACAACCACAGGCTTGCTTTAGGTTTTAAATCCACGCATAAAGCTGACAGCTGCTCTCTATTGTTTATCCTTGTGACCACAGGTGATCAAAGGGACAGTCAACATCCAAGTGGGAGATGTGAATGACAATGCCCCACGGTTCCACAACCAGCCCTACAGTGTTCGCATCCCGGAGGTAGGGATTGCTGCACTCTCTCCGCACAGCTTGTCTTACGGCTCTTCCTGCAGTGGCCATGCTTACTGCCTTTGCCACCACAGAGCTGGCTGTGTGAAGGCCACAGGGCTGTCCTCCTGCCCTGGATCCTCACTGAGGTTAGGGGCAGGATTAAACATCTGGAAATTATTGTTGTCTGAAAATTGGCAGAAGCAAAGTGACCCATATTTTGGGTGTTGGGAAGGCAGGTGGAAGACGACCTTTGGGACTCAGGGTCTTTGCAGCTTTGATGATGTCTTTCCTGTGACAAATGTGAACTTTGAAAATAGCTGTAAATGGGATTCTGTTTTTTTTCCTTCTGAGCCGGGGAGAATCTCTGTGCAGCTCTTGTCACAGAGGCGACCTGAGGCAGGGGTAAATATTTTTCCAAACAGCTGATTTCTGCAGAGTTCTGCCCAAAAGCTTTTGTCTTTGGTGGTAGTTTCCTTTAATGTAAGACCATCATTGTCCCATCAGGTCCTAGGAATAGGTAGGAAAGGACCACCTTTCCCTGCTCTAGTGGCCCAGGCTCCTATTAGAGCAGAGAGAATTTTCATGTCAGATCAGGTTGCTCACAGCTTTATCCAGCCAAGTGTTGAATATTTCCAAGAACAGTTTCCCCAGGCTTCTGCCGCTCTCTCTCCATGCTGGTCCTTGCAAGGAAGGTGATATTAGTCATACCGTCAGGGAGAGCTCCTGTGCCTACAGCTCAGCTTGGCGGAAATACACCAGGAACTTACAGATCTGATGTGAATTTAGGCTTTAAAGATGTCGAGCAAAAGGTGCTTGCTAGTGCTAGGACAACAAGGTCAGGGTATTATATTTGAAATAGGGAATTAGTAGGGGACTTCATGTCATCCAGTGGAGGGAACCTCTCCCTCTTGCACGCTGGTACCAGGACAGAGCCTGTTTTCCCCAGAGCATGCCTCTTGTGTGCATGAGGTCAAGTGTTCTTCTGTGTGTGTGAAATCAAGCAGTCTACGGTAATTGAGAGGTACAAATGATTGTGTTACAATGGTTTATTTAATATGCTGGCTGCTGGTGCCCTGCCGTGCTGGGCTTTGATCTTTTCCTTTCCCTCTGCTGTGAGGATGAGGTTTCTTCATTAAGTTGCTTGTGATGTATGAGCCGGAGTTTTAGTCTCATCTTTGCACCAAGTCATCTGAAACCTCCCTTTGAGAATGACACTGGGTCAGAGTCATTTCTTCTCTTTAAAGCATGAGCAGTGCAGAAATGACTTGCCAAAACATCCACGAGCTGCTCCTTGCTTTTGTCTTTCTGCTTGGAATTCTGGAAGCTGATGGGGTGGCTGTCTTGCCTTGCTACTGCTTCTTCCTGTGATGGTCTGTCTGCAGAGGTCTGCAAAGCAAAAGGAATGTCAGTGGGACTGAAGGAGAATGGTCTTCTCTTCTCTGCCCCCAGATTTGGCTATGGTTTTGCCATTTACTGCACCTGGTACAGAGGGCTTCCTTCTCCACATGAAGAGATGGCAAGTGGCGTTTAGCAAGCACGGTGCTTCCCCCAGTGCTTCTGCTTTGCCAATTGGCCTTTAGAGCTGTGCTTTTCTGGAGGCTGGCCTTATCTTAATTATAAGATGCCATGTGCCAGCTTCCAGTTTCTATCTGTGATCTTTAACCAAGGGCACTGATCAAAGGGTAATGAGCCACGAATGGATTGCTCAGCTGGTATCCTCAGCAGGTTCCTCTGCTGGGGAGAGAGCCTTTCCTTATCAGGCACTGTGAGAGCAGGGCATGGGGTGCCACTATCTAAAGAGGACGCTCCAAGTGCCCGTGGTAGATGTAAGCAATGAACTTAATTTATGTGCTGGCATGGCCCTGGAGGAAGAGGTGCCCCCTTGCTTTGAGAGCTTTTAGGGCCACATGTTTTTCCTGTTGCTTCTTCACAAATACTCAAAGCTGGAGGTGACACAGCATGGAGATGTGCCTTCAGAAGCTGAGGCTTTTGGAGCCAGGGGACACCTGGGGTGCAGCTGAGGCTGAGGAACCGTTCATGGGTAGATGATGACAGTGTCCCTGGATCAGCGTCCAGATAGCTCAGGCCAGGGTGAGCACCTAGAGTGGGTAGCAAAATCTGCCTCGAAGACTAACCAGCCCAAGCCAAAGAGCCTATGGCTAATGAATAAACGGGCTGGAGCTTGGGGATAGGGAAGGGTCTAACAGAAGTGCTAGTGTGGCTTTTCATAGGCTGGCTCTGTGCAGAATTGGCAGCTAATGAGAGTTTCTCTCTTTTTAATTTTGAGATAAATGGATGTATCGATTTGCAGTTGTCCTAGCTAATGGACCAGCAACAGAAAGGCTATTTAAACCTCACTGCTATTGTGTGGCACTGGGAAAGTCAAAAGAAGAGTGTGCATAAATAAATGAAACATGAAGTAAACTGACCTTTAAAAACAATACTGCCTCTAAATACCCGTCCTGGCATTTTACGCAGTCTGCTTGGTATGAGAATGGGAGTTTATTTGGGCATGGAGACTGCAAGTCCTGTCTAGCAGGGGGAGAGGATGCCCAGTTTAACTGTGGACTCCTCTGCATCACAGCAGTTCCAAATACCCAGACTGGTGATCGTTCGTGTGTTGGGCTGATGCCACTGTTCCTTTGTGCTTGTCATGTCTTAATCACATCCCCAGCACCTGACCTGCCTGGAATAGCTGACCAAGGGCCCATGTGTCCAGAGAGGGATATTGCTCCAGCGTAATTGTCCGTCCCGTCTGGGCAAGGGCACCCCATGATTTGCTTGTCAGAAGGCAACGAGGCAGTGCAGATGTTTTCAAGTCTGTAAAGAAAAGGGGAATCCTGCTAGAATTGGCGACCTAATTCACCAAGCTGGCCTTGACAGAGCTCATTAAGTTCTCGTGTATTCATTTCAGGCTAATGGCTGTCATGCTGACTGCTATTTGATTTGCTATAATAGACTTTTATGGTTTTCCAGTTTGCTAGGACGTGTGTGCTCGTGTTCCTGCCCTGTGGTGCTGCTGTAGTACATTACTTAGCTGCTCATGTGCTTGCTACTCTGACCTTCAGGGTTTGTTCTCTTCTTGGATGCATCCCTTGCACTTCACCTCTTGCACACGCTCTTTTTTTTACCCTCTTCATCCTTGCCCAGCCCCAGGCTACCATGTTTCTGGGAGTCTTAGGGTTTGGCTTTCAAGTCGGGAGACATATTGCTGAGCCCATGGCAGGCTGTTGTGGCGATGCCTCAGTTTCTGACAAGTCTGATCTGCTTTATCTAATCTATTTTTCCATTTCACTGGATCTGTAGGAAACTCGGTCTTGTTGGATTGTCATGGTTCAGAGCTTTTATGTGAAGCTAGCAAATGAAGTGGAGCCAAGCACCTCTCTGGTTTTGTGGCATCTAGTGTGGTGTTGGGACGAAGGTGAACTGTTTCCCTAGGAGCCTGCTAGGCTTTCCAGTCCTAGCTTCCAGGCACGGGATCTTCTGGGGCACACAGCCCTCTGTTTCGCCTTTGAAGTGAACAACCTTTAAGCTTATGGGTAAAAGGCATGGCTCTGCAAGCCTCTCTTTTGCATCTGCTACTTCCAGGTGCTACGCTGGTTACAGGAGCACATCTTGGGTCCTGCAGAGAAGGTTCCTCAAACACTGAGGCTGTTATGTGGTGTGGTAGCCAAGTCTAGTACCTCCTTATGAAAAGCTGTTTTCCCCCATGACTCCCCAATATGCTGAGCTTGCTGATCAAGTTCGAACTGTCCGTTGCCTTCTCCTGGGCCTGGAGCATCACCACTTTTCACATGCTGGCAGAAAGATCACTTAATTGTTGGTTTCTTCACTGAATGCTCCCTCAGGAGGTTTCCAGTGAGGTTTTATCTTCTTTGTTGCCTCCCTCACCTCATTCCTTCTGTTACATTTAACACAATGATTTATAAAGTCATATGTATTATTGGAGTACATCTTCTAGCATAAAAGCTGTCCTCGGCAGGCTCTGGGACATAGGCTGCTGTTTAGCGCCCTGAACATTCCCGAGATGACAGTTGTACCACACAGAGCTATCTGTAACTTGACAGGAGATAGTAATTATAACGGGGTTCTGTTTTTGAAAGGCACCCACTGCATCTGTAACCACAACCATCTGCCTTTGGAACTCGCTCACCTCATCTTGAGTTCAAGCAAATGCTAGTAAGAGGCAGAGCTGTGGGAAAGGAGTTTAAAAACAAAAAGTTTCTGTGCAGCTCACAACATTGGCTAGGCACCTTGCAGGTGTTGCATCCAGCTTGCAGGTGTTGTATCTCCTGAACTCAATCCTGATTTACCAATTTATTTTAATTGGGGGGCAGCCAGGCACTTACAATTGACAGCAGTCTCTTCTGCTCAGGGAGCAGCCTCTGGGATTGAGCCTTCGCAAGCTGTTGGTCAGAGTTTCCATCCTTAATATGGTGGTGTAGTTGAAACGGTGAATTTTATGACTTTTTTTAATTGTGCAGAAAAGTGTTTGGCAGGGAGAGAGAGAGAAAGGAGGGAACTGTCCCTGCCCTGTTCCATTAAACAGCCTGGAACTAGACCATGCTAGATGGTGACCAGGGGCAGGGAGTATCAGAGAAAACCCTAAAAGCCCTAGCTGTAATTAAAATTATTATTTTGTTTTAATGGTAATAATGTCTGTAATTACATCAGTTTCCATGCCATCCTGCCCGGGAGTCTTTGGGGGCTCATATAATTCTATTGCGATGGCTCTGAGGCCTGATGCTACGCATATGAAGCAGCTGCAATGAGAGTGAGTTCCTGCTTCAGCTGCATTAGCCATTCCATTGCATGCTTCCAGGCACCTTTAGGGTTTTTTTCCCCCCTTCCTTTAAATAAAGAACCTTTATATTGAAGATGATGATAACAGAGCTGATAAGAAAGATGTTCCTGCCACATTGCAAAACGGCCTATAATCATTGCTGGCTGCTCTCCTTTCTCATTTCTTTTCTTTATTCCTTCCTTGCCTACCATCACCCCCCCACCCC